TTTTTTTGTTTTTGCTAAATGTCCCTTGTCACTGAACATAGAACATAGAACCTGCCACTAGGGGCAGACTTCCGTGAATTTGACCAGTTAGGCAGAATGGCTGAAACTAGCCAGTAAGAATCTACTGAAATGATGTGTGATTTACAGAAAGAATGTGACGATATAGTAACTGAAATTTTAAATTCATGCCATAAATTTAGACAATTTTTTTTGTTGTTGCTGTTGGTATTTCTGTCCTGTAAGTAGCTAAATGAATAAAAATACATTATCGTCTACTTCTCCTTCTCCTTCCATTACAAGTTGCACCTTTCGGTTGCACACAGTGGCCTTAAGCTGCTGCAAAATGATGGGCTAGACCAGTAGTATAACTATGTTATTAATATTGAAATTTCTTGTAACGATAAATATGTTATATTATAGTAATTAAAATGTCTTTTTAAAAGGAGTTTCCAGGCCCAGTGTATATCATTAATCATCTTACTATATAAATATTCACAGCTACTGTATATATTTATATCATTGCTGTATTTCATTCAGTTCACCATATGTGTATTTGAAGGGCGCAGCCAAGTTTTTCCAGCTGCATTAAGACAAGAGTGTTTTTCTAAACAAGTCGTGTGAGTCATTCTCCCGTAAACACCCGCTGCATTTAACACTCCACGTGGCAGGGGGCGCAGTTCTCTCGAGTGGGACCTGGGGTCATGGCGCTGACCTGCCAGTGGTGGCCCCAGGGAATCTGGCTGTCAGGAGCAGAGTCCCAACATGTGCAGACGAGCTTCAGCTAGCTGGGAATCACACTCCCGTCGTGCGTCCGCAGGTCCTGCTCGCTGACACGCCCTGCTGCTGCAGGGTGGTGGTGTGACTTCACTCATAACCTATAGAGTGTGATGCTGTGAATTTCAATCACAGGGACTACAAGTCCCAGGAGGCAGTGTGGGGGAGTGTGGGCGGGACATCCTGCTGTTCCATCCAGGAAGCTATTTAACCTGAAGAACATCAGCGAATTTTAGCCTGCAAATACTACATATACTGCAAGGTACTCGCATAACATTTTTACAGCTTGGTGTTTCTCATAAAATGGCACAGAAAAGCCTATTTCCAAGGATTCAGCAGTCACACTAATTATCAAAAGTAATTCTAAGGCTACAGTGAATGGACTGTCAGCTCTCGGATTAACTGTGAATGCTCTGGTGTATAGTAAACAAACGCAAAGTGCGGAGTTGTAAGTTTGCAGCGAGCGTGTCACTCTAGGGGTCCTTTGGAGTTGTGTGGTGTGCCATACGGACTGAGTAGCGAGACCAGCATGGGAATGGGGTCTGTCTGATTCCGTGTTGCCTCAGCCGTCTTCCTCTTAAGCTCCTCTGTAACGCCGCACTGAAGTGTTAAAAGCCACGAGAGCCGATCTTGATCTTTCCCCGAGTTCCGCTGGGAATTTCAGCCTCTCGTTACTTGAAAAGAACGGGGGGTGCGCCCCGGTGGGAAAGCACCCCAGCGTCCTCCATTTTCATCAGCGGCCGGCCGGCTTCCCGCCTTTGTTCACGCCGAGGTCCACCATTCACCGCAAATGCCAGACCGGAGCGCTTAGAAATGGAGACATTTGGAGCGAGTGGGAGAAAAATAGAGCGAGAGAGAGCAATTTACGGCACATAACGGCAGCACAGCGGAGCTGGAGAAGCCGCGTGTTTGTGTGCCTGAATCATTTTCGAAGGTGGCCATTTTCATCATTTGGGCTTGATTTTTAATGTGGCTGATTAACTTTTTAAATATTTTAAAAATGACTTCCAGACACACATTAATATGGGCTATTTGAGTTATTAGAGGCCCATACTATTTCCTACAATGGTGTAGTTGTCAACTAGGGGCAGTGGTTAAAATTCAAATAAGGTTCGTTGGAGCCCCTTTTTATCGGAGGCCTTGCGCATTAATTAAGCGACTCTGACACAGTGACACATGTATGTACATACTACACCATTTTGATGTCCTATTGGGGGTGGGGTGATCAGCACCGTATCCCCCCGATGATTGGCACACTCCCCCTGGGGACTCAACGCCACAGAAAACACTGCTGCACTTTGACACGTTCATACGCAACAGGAACGTGCAACATTGTATGGCTGCCAAATGCCTTTTAATGGCAGCCAATTAGAATCGAGTATAACAAAGTGTCTGTATTCATGCGTGCACTGGAGTCCCCGTGGCCTATCACACACAAATACTTCCATAATTACCAGTGTTCAGAAACTTCCAGTTAGCATCTTTGATCGAGGCGGTCCGCTCATCCAGCCTTCCTGTCTGCTGGAGGTGACAGCCATGAATTCCTTTCCGTTATTGGTGACTCCGAGGGCGTAGACGCCCGCAATCCATGGCCGGCCGCGGCAGGTGATGATTGGCACAGTCAGCTCCAAGTGTCCGGTACCTACTGTAACATTAAACAGGCCGGAATCGCGGCATCGTATATGCAGATCGTTCGCGCGATGTGCCGTGTAAAGCTCTCTGGTTATAGGTAGGGGGTGCCACTGAGCAATAATGAAGGTAACAGCAGGAACGGCGAATGTCATGTGCAAGATGGAGCGTGATTAGGTCAGCATCAAGGGCTAGAGATGGATTGGCTCACCTGCAACCGGGGTCGTGCCACAGGGGCACTGGTGCCCGCTGAAAGATGATTGGCCCATTCCCCAGTCACTCACAGATTTCAAACATATCATTGGCTAAAGAAAAGGTTAGCCCGTCTGCATGAATTTCAGCCCCTCTTATTGCCCCCACCTTAAAAACTCCTAGAATCGAGCCTGGCTGCAGCAGATGGCTGCCAGAGTGGAAGATGCGACATCTACGATGGACACATGTTTCCGCCATACTTATCAGAGGCTCGGGGAGTTACGCAGGACAGGAGCTCAAACCAGGGGCCGTCAGGGGAAGGACAGTAACCTGGGCCAAACTCGACCAAACCTTAGAAACGTAGGTAGGGGGGGCTTTTTTCAAAATCAATTTAGTGATTTTCATAATTTTGCTGAATTTTTTAGTCAGGGACCCACCCCCAGGTAATTTTATCATGGGGGACCTCAGAGGAGGCAGGGGTTGCATCCCATAACTATTCAGATTAAGATTGGCAACTCAATTTGGGCTAAGCACCTCCCCCCCCCCCTACAATCGGGCCTGGATAGCAGCATCCGAATCCCTGTATTCCCAATTTCTGGAACACTGTGGTTCGCATTAAAAGCGGCACTGGATGCCACAGTGCAGAATCTCATGTTCCAGGTAGGGGGCGCTGGCATGTCACTGCTCCCCCCCCCCCCCCCCTCCAAGCAAACTGAAGGCCTT